TGCAGGTGCAACTTTTTACTCCGAATGGTAGTCTGTTGAATTTGTACAACCCTTTGTGCGTATTAATGCAAAGGATTTTCGTACTCTCTTCTTGTACTGGGATTTGTAGATAAGCCTCACTAAGATCTATTTTTGAAAATATCTTACCGCCGTTGAGCTTTGTAAAATATCTCCTCTGGGCTCGGTAGTGGGTAATGGTGGTCTTTTATCGCCTTGTTGAGTCCTGTCGAAAAATCTGCGCATACGCGAATTTCTCCTGACTTCTTTTTTTACATAAACCACCGGCGCTGCCCACTCACTAAACTCTCTATTTTTTGATAGAATCCCAGTTTGTTCAAGTCTCTCCAATTCTTTTGTCTATTTTTTCTATAGTAGCAAACGGTACATTTCGCTTCTTTTTAAAAAATTGGTTGGACGTTTTCTTTTTAATTCTATTTTGGCCTTAAATTTGTTGCATCGTCCCAACCCGCTTGAAAATACTTCAGGAAATTGATTATATATTTCCTCCTTCAATTTTATAGTATCTGATGGTTCAACCTCTAACTTTTTGCAAAATGAGTTGATAGGTATGTCCCAAACGTTGAATTTTTGCATTCAGTCGATACCTACTAGATTTTCAGTATCTTTCATGACATATATCTTGAGTTTTTTTGTTTTGCCGTGAAATTTAACATTCACGATTAATTCTCCCTCAAATTTTATTCGTTTGCCTGTAACCGATTTGGCAATTTTTTGGGTGTGTAACATGGTAGGTCTGAGTTTTTTCCATGTCTGTAAGTTGATTATCGTGAGGTCGGAACCCGAATCTAGTTGTAATTTAATCTTTTTATTTAAAATTTCCAGTTCCACATATTTCCTTACATTGGTGTTGTCATCGTTATGAATCCTTGTGACTCTTATTCTATTAGTATCTTTTTTCTATTTCTACACTGGGATGCCTTGTGGCCTCTTTTTTTCCACATTCAAGATTTTTTTTTTTATATCTGAAGCGGCAATCCTTGTTCCAATGTAATCCTCCACATCGATAACATGCTGATGGAGGGGCTTATATTTGTTTCGATATTCGTCATAATTTGTCCTGTATGTTGCACTTTTCCTCTTATTATAAAATTTTCTTTTTTTCTTTCCGGGGAGGGTGAGAATTTTTTTCATTGTAAAATTTTAGTTTTCTTTCCGGGAGGGTGAAGAACGTAGACTTTGTTTAACTTACGTATATGAGAAACAGCTGATTCTTCAATGTCCTTTGCGTCTTTCTTTATATTTAAACATCTCTGGCAATCTTCCGATAATTGCTGTAATGTTAGACCCGGTTCATTTTGTAATTTTGCAAGCATTCTTCTGCGCATTTCGCTATCTTTTGTAGAAACTAGCCCTTGGACAAAGATGAGACATTTGAAATTGCCCGGGGTTAATTCCGCTAGTTTGAAGTCGTCACAGTGTTTATTTACGATTGCGGCAAACGTGGAATAATCCTCATTATCGCCCTTTACCAGGTTAAGGCATTTCCACCTCCTATGGAGGAGTGATGTTTTGGGGCTGAAGAGTTCTTTAAGACATGTCACTGCTTCGTCAAATGTTAATTCGTTCATCTTTTTTGGCAAGATATAATCCACGAACTTTGTATATTCTTCAGTTCCTAAGTTTCTAAGCAAAAGACGTAGCTTTTTTTTTTGCTTCTGTCCAATTTTGACAGTCTATATTAAAGATGTCTTCATGTCTACTGAAGTAATCTAAAAAAATTTTGTCCTTATCTAGGGAATATTTGAAAATCTCTATGGTATTCCACACTGCGTCTTGCGAAAATGTTGCTTCTTTTTCAATATCTAATTGCTTGTTGCTTGCTACTTTCAATATTAACTCCTGAAGCTCTGTTTGTCTATCTTGATTTTCCTTTGGCGTTTGTAATAATTGCTTTTGCCATTTTTTTGTGGCTGTAATTGTTGCTCATTTTGGTGTTTTATTAGTTCTACCAAAATATTTTTAAAATCTTCCATGATAACTCAATTTTATGTATCTTTTACTCCTCGAAATTGTTTGTCGCTAATTTGTTGTTGGACGACGAGGGATTTTTTTTTTTCTATTTCTTTTTTTCGTGTGAGTTCGAGTCGCTCGAAGCCAATTTGCTTGTTGGACGACGAGGGAAGATTTTTCTTTTGTTGATTTTTTTTTCTTTTCCGCTTGGGTTCGAAACTTCGTCGCCAAGTTGTTGTGTTGGACGACGAGGAAATATTTTTCTTTTGTTGATTTGTTGTTTCCAGCGTGTGTTCGAATCCTTGTCGCCAAGTTGTTGTGGATTCCGAGATGAATTCGGTCTCCAAGGAATGACAAACGCAATAATTAAATATAAGAAATAAAATGTATTTACACAATCATACAAAGGGTAATACTCTTAGTAAATCCAGGAACACGGTTAGTAGCAAATACAGATAGATATATATAGTCTCGAAGTAGGACTTCCTTAGAGTCTACGTGCTTGTAACTGACTTCTACAAGAGGTCACCTCACTCTATCCGACTACCGACACTGACTGTCTAACTCTGGATATTTAACGGCAGCAGTCCAGGTACATTGGTAGAGTCCACTTATATGAAAAAGGGGTGGACCCCATAACAATAATAATGGAACCAAATAAAAATACAATTTCTAGCTGTTTTAAAAACTAATCTAAGTTTTGCAAAAACAGATTAAGACAATAAAACACAGGCACGACCTACAGATCCTCCACTTTCTTCAGAAGACCCAGTGAAGCAATTCTTTTCATATTAGCATTCATATAGATATATTTAATAATTACTGTAGATAAACAACTAGCATGTTATATAAAAGTTGTATACACCGATGGGCTAAAACTGTGAGATCAGTGCAAAAAATGACAGCTAATCTCTGAGCATGTCAAGTCAGAAACGTATGTATGTAAACCTGTAAACCAGCCTCGTGTAGTTCATTTTAAAAACTGCTGAATGCCGCAGTTATGAGCAAGAAGAAATAGATGAGTTACTTTGATAAAGTCTAAATCGTTATAATGATAAAACTAAACGGATCTCAGAAACATTGCTCGTTATATGCGCACGTTAAGTCGTAGTAAGTAGCTTTCGTTAGTGGTCCGAGAATGGAAATATCACGAAATAGCTGATAAGGTATTGAGCAGCCGAGACTTAACTCGAGGGAAAAACCGAATGAAGGTTTTTTTCTACCAATTACGAGCCATTCAGAGTATCCAATTCCCACCATCAAAAGAATCTTCAATAGGCACGTAAGCATCCGGACCGATCTTTTGTACCAAAACGAAGAAGATTGCCGAGTCCAATTAGTCTCACTTCCTCTTGAACAAATTGGATGATTGTTTTTCTGTCCTTCTAAAATCTTGTTTACAATCAATCAAAAGGATTGAAAATACAAACGTACATTATTTGGAAGAGATGACAAACAGATAATTTAATCTGTCAACCTCTACTAAAAATCCTTTACTTTCTTGGAATCTTAGAGAAAAGTGAATTGACTATTTCTTATCAAGTATGAAACAACAAAATAAATCCTGTGTCTACATTATAGATATGTTAATAGTAAAGGTAGCCACTTCCGTTTAAGGAGCAATCAGCATTCATTAACCGAACAGTTAATGTTACTGTCGTTTAAAGTCTATAAAACATTTTTCTTAAAACATTTTTCTTAAAACATTTTTCTTAAAACATTTTTTCAGGAAATTATACTTCTGAAACCCATTATTATATTCTTTTCTAATATTGATGGGAGTGTCCTTCCAAACCTTTTTGTTTTAGTTGTGTAGACAGCAGTTTCATCATTATTTTATCTCCTAGTCACATGCTACCAATTTTTGTTGGAAATTTTCAAGTGATATGTTTTAAAGTTATTTGTTTGTTATTTTGTAGCGATGAAAGATTGTCTTCTTTATAGGATTAATTCATTTGAAGCCATTTTTAGCCATTGATCCGAAAAAAAAGTTGTTTCGCGATTATAGTTTATACGTTTAGGCCGTCAAACATAACATCCATATAAAAATCTAGATCTGACGAGGCTATTTCAGAATGTGACTAGAAATGGAACCCCAACCAACTTATCCTGTGTCCAACTTTTCTTTTATATTCTATGCTAAATTTGTTATAATTGGTCCAGATACTGAGAAATTAAAATGCTTTAAATTTCTCCACGACTTCCTGCAGATCTTAGCAATGTTTGTCTTTTCGCTGTCTGCCTTAATCCCTACACTGTCAACCATTTATACAAGTTCATTAGGTAGATTATTCGTTGCCTTTTTTCTCTCCATTATCTTTTCAACATGGCCGGTCTGTATTAAATTTTCTAAGTCCTTTCGCCATGTTATGTGCCTTATAAGTTTCTGGTTCTAAGGGTCATTTTTGTTTCCACGTTGCTTAAAACACTTCGTAGTTACTCACATTTTCAGTCCATGGTAGTCTCAGTATTCTTCAGTAGAACCACAGCTTCAATACTGAATTGTAATTCTACTCATGTCAATTCTAAATCATGCTTTAAATTAATGGAAAAAATAACAACCCACGCTACTATAATCATTTACGTCTACAAGACTGCATAAAAACAAGTCAAGTGTCCATCGTTGGAAGCGTTCTGAATGAGAACGCAAAGGTTGGAAATAGACGTTGATTCAATGGAATATGCCCGTCTAAGTTGATGAATCTAACTTTTTGCTGAATAAAGAGGAGAGCATTATACGAGGTCTGATTAAAATGGATCGGGACTGTTGCTATAGTATCGGAGCTAAAGAACCCAGAGTGAAGACGCTTGGCACAGATTGACTTTAAAAACTGTCACCCATACGCATAAGGTTCTCGCTCACTTCTGATGTTTATAGCAGTGCTTGAAAGGAAAGTGTGTAGAGTGTGGTAGTCTCAGCACTCCACAGAGGTTCTATAAGTGACCAGGTTCGACAACTACCATTATTCCCCAGATCACCACTTGATTTGAACAAGCACCTTCTCAACACTTGACACATTGAAACAAACCAATCTTTCCATGATTTTTCCTCTATTCAACCATTTGAATAAGTTAATCTCTGCAAATATTTGTCTATAAATCTCGATAGAGAGAGAAAGAGAATAAGAGGGGTGATTAATAGATAGATAGATAGATAGATAGATAGATAGATAGATAGATACGAAAACACCGAGATAGACAGATAGATAGATACGAAAACACCGAGATAGATACGAAAACACCAGATAGATAGATAGATAGATAAAAATATTTAAAGATAGATAGATACGAAAAAACCTAGATAGATAGATAGATAGATAGATAGATACGCAAAGACCTAGATAGATAGATACGCAAAAACCTAGATAGATAGATAGATAGATACGCAAAGACCTAGATAGATAGATAGATACATAGATAGATAGATAGATAGATACGCAAAGACCTAGATAGATAGATAGATACGCAAAGAACTAGATAGATAGATAGATAGATAGATAGATAGATAGATACGCAAAGACCTAGATAGATAGATAGATAGATAGATACGCAAAGACATAGATAGATAGATAGATAGATACGCAAAGACCTAGATAGATAGATAGATAGATAGATACGCAAAGACCTAGATAGATAGATAGATAGATACGCAAAGACCTAGATAGATAGATAGATAGATACGCAAAGACCTAGATAGATAGATAGATAGATAGATAGATAGATAGATAGATAGATAGATAGATAGATACGCAAAGACATAGATAGATAGATAGATACTGAGATAGATAAAATACAATTTGAATAGATAGATATAGATATATATTTTGTCATTTATTTATTCTTTTTTCTTCTTTGAATGCATTTCCTTTTATTTTATCTAACTATCCACACATATATGTTTGTTTTGTTTTCAAATCTATATACCTTAACTAATGTATTAACTCTCTTTCAATGTACCTAACTACCTGTCCATATCTATTTCCCAATGTCAGTCTGTTCCCACCCGTCTGTTTATATTTCTCTCAGTCTATCTATTTATCTATGTCTTAAACTAGTTTCTGATTGCTTTCTATTTTATGCTAAAAGAATTAATGTAGCATTTTCTTCACCAAATATTTTTTCCGAAGATGCTCCTATTGCTATTCTTCTCTACAGACTTTCATTTTTATGGATTCAATCGATTTAACTTTTGCGCCTTGTTTCTCGTAGTCATATTTTGAATTCTTCATTTTGCATCCATTTCATGTCGACTTTAATATTTGCTTCAGTGTTCTGAAAATGTAGGGTTCTATTTTTTATTACTACATTTACATTTTTTTTTTTTTAGTATTTTTTAAATGTGCCAAAGTGACGTCATTTCTCCCTATGTGATCACAACACACCTTTTCATTTTTTTATATCATTTACGAACACTAGGATCATGATTAATTGCTAATATGATTCGCATGAAATCTCAACCACGCAAATAAAAATTATTTAAAACCAACGTATAAAATAATGCATATTTTCAAATGACAGTAATTATTTTTCTTCGTGCTTTTCATTGCTGGTTAAACAGCTAAAAGGAATTCCTATATGATTTTAATGAGCTTAGCTTCGTTGAGTTTGTTAATGTATCAAACTCGGTAACATTATTAAAAAAAAATATATCAAGGAAAGCAACATTAAAACAGTCAACATAAATAGTTTTAGTTATAACTATTTTACCGGTATTGTCAAACACTGACAAAATATTTAACTAATTTTAAAATTGTATTGTTGTGACAAGATTAGCCCCACCCTCCGCTACACAACCGGTTTAGAAAGCACAAGAACTCAAGTAGGCCATGCGTCTGAAGTGTGTTGTTTTTTATGACCAATAGTAAAGTCTAAGAAATAGGATGTTCATAGAAATGACCCCTTTGAGTAAAAAGAAATAAAATAATAGATAAATAAATGAAAATTTATGGGAACAAGTGGCATTTGACCGGACGTCAGTAATTTCTTATTTTAAACAATTTTTTCTGAATGTTTTAATGTTACTTTCCTTTTTTTTTTTTTTTGTTGGGTCATGTAATTTAATGATTGTCTATCTGACCTCAGCTCCATTAGAATCATTTAAGCACACATGCAAACTTACCAGATTCTATCCGAAACATACTAGTAGAAAATACAAACATAATAACCTAAAAAATAAAGAATAAAAATAATGGAAGCCTTAATAATAAAAAAGAAAAAGCCAACACTTAATAATATTAGCTACGTGATATACAAACACCTTAACACGAAGGAAAGAAGGACTAAGATAACAGAAAAAATCGAATGCCAAATATGCATTTTTCTCAAATAAACTTTATATACCGCTATGTCATAGAAGAAATTATATAAAAATATGTTGTATAGAAAGACGAACGATCTTCTCTCCACTAACTGTTGATCATGGACTCGTTCATCGCTATGAGTAGAACGTCTGCTCATAGGAATGATTGTCGCAAAATGTGTCGCAAGGCGTAGCGTTAGAGTTGTACGCATTGCCGCACGGAACTACCGTATTCTCTATTACTGTATTATTGATGCATGCGATTAAACCTTGTCTTCAGTCAACTTTTTGTTCCAGTGTTTCCTTAGAGTATTATTAACCAGAACCATGAGCGTTATTCGAACTTTGTGACAATATGTCACTTTTTACACTACATAGTGAAACTATAACGCATACGAATACAACAAGCATTGTGAAAGGGCGAAAATCGAGGCGGTCTTATTTGTAACTAGCAGCATGGCCCGGCGTTTCGCGTGCTTGATTCAAAAATCTTACGACTCATACAGCAATCGCTATCACTTGACTTAAAATATTTTTGCCCTTTCTTGCCTTTAAAGGAGTGCCCTTTGTCGTTTGATTTTACGACATGCCTTACTTTGCCTATATCTTACACTCGATTTTTATTTAATCTATCTATACTAAACATTAAATCTGTTACGAAAAAAGAACTAAACAAAATCAACACAAAACGATCAGCTTTAAAAAATATTACGATTATCAGTGTAGCTTATTCGTTTTATTTTCTAAGATAATCTCTGGCATGAACTTATATTATTTGACTTATTTGAACAATTCCATTTTTCTTGCTGCTATCTATCATTAGATGTGAAACATCTTAAATAAACTTATTGAGTAAAATGACTTAATTCTTTTATATTTCATTTTTACTGTTATTATTAATGAAATATTTTCACTTGCAGATTTAATATATTCGTATTAATGCCTCGAACAAGAGGTTCTTCGCAATTTTAGATAACATGCTGAACGAGCGAGCAACATACTCTTCTCGAATGAAAGACTGACACACTATTCGGGATTAATACAAATTAAGAAAGTTTACAATTATCATTAGTCACTTGGAATATTATTAGTTACTTGGAATCGGTTAAGAAGATAGCGAGATATTTCATTGTTCTAAAGTGGTTTACCTACTTCACGCCGCTGAAGAGTATTGTATTTTTGTTGATGTTATAAAGATTACCATTTCATTTCCAACCTCCGTTTTGGTAATTCCTCATTCAGTAACCTTTTCTCCGTTACAACATATATTTTTACAAGCTAATCTTATTTTTACCAACTACTAGCAATTTTAAAATGAAGAAATATTGTACAAATACGTCTGAGAAACTGTGCAATATTTCTGCATTTTTGGTGTATTCGTAATCTAGTAGTGAATTGAAAAATTATTTCAGGCAATTCATTGATGGTGACAAACGCTGTGAAAGAAAAGATTATCCTGAAGTGTCTAACAAGACATTCTATTGATATGGCGTCACATGTTGATATCGCTTGTTTATGAGAAGCTCAAAGGAAAAAGAAAGACTTTTCACTAGCACTCTTCAAATAATAACAGATTGAGAGTAAAAAAGGGTAGAAATATATATATGTTGCAGTTGTAGGTACTAAATAATAAATATTGTAATTAAATTCGTGGGTAGAGTAACTGCTATTAGCATGTGATTATGGAATCGGTGAGTGATGCCCCAATTCCTGATTAGTCTGTTCCATGCAGAAATTCATCTATTCTTACAAGCAGCAGGTAAAGGCTTAATAATAACTTCATTAGCCTTGAATGGCGGCCAGTCTATGAGATGTAAGTATTTGTTAATGCCATTGTAATGTGGAAACACTTACAGAGGTTTGCGTTATTAACATCGTGGTTCTCATGAAGTTCTGCGGAAATTTCAGGAATCACTGATGCGAAACGGTCATCTTTAAAAGAATAATATGCGTTGCTAACATGAGATGAAATTAAAAAAATAGTGCAGCAAGTTTATGATTGCAGCCTTCGTTTTTTCCTTCTTATTTGATATTTTCTTTAGTTTCTCGATTGAAAAGTGTTATGGTCCGGTTCCTTGTACCACGGTGATAGTCCAAGGTAGAACCAATAAAGAAGAACTCGAACACGGATAAGGAATAACACAGATATATTACAAACAGGAATCTATACAGAGAAGAAGACAGTGTTAGTACGAACAATCAGGTTTAGTAGTAATTGTCTGAACGCGACTCTGTTTCGGACTGCCTCTGACTCGACTGACTGACTCGCTCTGACTGACTGACGGACTTCTGACGGACCTCACTCCAGACTTCAGACTGAACAGTATTTAGACACCGCCCCACGAGGGCATTATTTGGCACAAGGCCGGTTTAACGTGGGATCTCCGAGCCCGTGGGATCTCCGAAACCGTGGGCTCGGTCAAAAATATACCCTTTGAACCCGTATAAACGGGTTCAGGTTCGATTTACCTCCCCGAAAGAGACTCCGCCCTTCGACGTAGCCTCGTTCGGGTTCCTCCCCGCCCGAAGGCAGAGAGTTCAACCGATCAGCCGGTCAACCGACTTCAGACTGAACGGTATTTAGTCACCACCCCCCGACGACGGCATCATGTGGCACAAGGCCGGTTTAACGTGGGATCTCCGAGCCCGTGGGCTCGGTCAAAAATATACCCTTTGAACCCGTATAAACGGGTTCATGTTCGATTTACGGGTTCCCCCCCCCGAAAGAGACTCCGCCCTTCGGCGTAGCTTCGTTCGGGTTCTTCCCCGCCCGAAGGCAGAGAGTTCAACCGATCAGCCGGTCAGCCGGTCGCCCGACTTCAATCTGAACTCCCTGCTTCCTCTTGAGGCGCAGTATTTATTACGTATAGAAGAGTCCATTATGTTATTATGGCTAAGGTCCCATAACAAAAAGTATTTCGGATCTGCGTTGTAATCATGCTTGTTTGCAAGAACGTCGTCAAAGAAAATATTGACATGTTGTGCTCGACTAAACATGTTTTCGCTATGCGTTTTGCGCTGAAATAAGCTACAATGCAATATTACTAGTGATGGTAGTGGGGGTAATGGTAATGATGGTGGTTGTGGTGATAGTGACTTCTTAGTTACTTTTTAATGTTTATTTGTTATTTATTTATTTATTAATAATTTAAATACAATTTTTATTTTATAAGCCATACAACACAAACACTTATAATAAACACTTCTTTAAATATTATTAGTAACTATATATTAATTGAATTTATAGGTAAAACATATTCGTATAATAACATGATTAGGATGATTTGAATATAGTTTCATATTATAGAGAATAAGAGAAAAGATTAGAGAAAATTCCATTGAAAATTGAAGTTGTGTCGGAGTCTGGTGAAACACGTTGTGTTTCCTTGGGATCCAGACGCTTAAATGAAGATTTTACCGTTGTTGTTACTAATAGCAGTAGTAAAAATAAAAATAACAGGCTTAGGCCTGGCCCCTGAACGTGATGGCCCAGGCGCTCACGAACCAGCCCCCACCTATGGATAAATACGAACTAACTACACTGCTAACAAAAAAGAAAAACATTGCTAAACCACCTCGGTTGTCATGCGGGTTAACAAGTAACCAGACTGGGTTCGAAAGGTCTACAACTGGAAACTCTCCCTAACGAGAACTAGAGAAAAACTACGCCGAGGGCAGTCCTCACAGCGACCCTCTATATTCATTAAAAGAAAATCCTACAAAAAGAACAATAAATGAATGGTCTAGGGAAGAACATTTTGAAGTAATGATAGCATTTTACACCACTACGATAAACCTGGCAACGATCAAAGCCGCCTATAAGAAAAATACAAACAGAGTAAACATTGATGCCAACAAACTAGCCAATGTCAGGTGTGACATCATCAAGAAAAAGGGAATACCTGACATATAACTCGAAAAACATTCCGAGAAAACATCAAAAATAGATTAAACGTTAACATCGTGTGGCTAAATGCCAATAACCCAGAGGAGACACATGCAGAGGAACAAATAGAAACCAGTTGTAATAATCCCTCTGAGGTACATAAGCAAATAAGGGAAGATAATGACGAATATGACAAAAAAAGACACCCGATATAGATGTCAGGGAAATATCATTCGAGGATTGGCCGACAATTCCAAAAGTAAGAAAGAACCGTCAAGTGAAGGAAACCATCAACCTGGCTAACCAAGCATTTAAAAAAATAAGGGAAGAAATGGAAAGACCAATAAACCTGACAGAAATGAATCATCTTATATACGTTGTCTCGGGAACGATCGCAAAAAAAATATGTGATAAGGTAAAAACCCAACGTAAACGAAAAAGAAAAATGCTAGTGTGGAAAGGAAAAATAGAAACCGAAATAAATAAACTACGAGGACAATTGTCACATGTAAGTTAAGTAAACAAGAACTCAAAAATGAAAGAAATAAAAAGGAGACAACTGAAACGAAGCCTTGATATAAAGAATAAGACTGACGTACCAAATGTTAAAGAGAAGCTGAAACAACAAATTTCATCTGCAAAACCAAAAACTGAAAAGCACGAGGATTAGATCGAATAGCCAATTCTTGGCTAAAAAGCCTATCTAGCTCTCACTAAGACCTCGCACAAGCATAAAAATGCCCCGAATGGCTCACCTACACCCCAAAACAGAAGAGACACAGAACCCGATAAACTATAGACCCATCACCAGCCTACAAACATGATCCTCATTCTATCATAACCCTGAGGACATACAACTACCTTGAGAAAAACAATTTACTCCCAGAAGAACAAAAGGGATTTATTAGAGGAAGTTACTGGTGAAAGGGCCAACTAATTATCAGTAAAACAATATTGGAAGAGGTGAAAACAAGGAAAAGAAATTTATTGATAGCATAGATCGACTACAGAAAGGTGTTCGACAGTGTAGAACAATCATGGATATAGAAACGCCTAAAATATCTAAAATATACAGAATATGTCCCACAACGATCAAATTCATAACGGAGAGCATGAAAAACTGGAAGACTACACTAAACCTAAACCATACAAATGGGTCATTAACATCGAGATCAATCGACATCAAAAGAGAGATCTTCCAAAAAGATTCATTGTCACTATTACTATTCTGTCTTGCATTAGCGCCACTCAGCTGCCTACTGAACAACAGTAGCTATGGATAAAAGTCAGAGAATGACAAACTGAATTACTTATTCTATACTGATGATCTTAAAACATTTGCCAAGAATGACAACCAACAAAAAACCTATTCACTATTGTCAAAACCTTCAGCGAAGATATTAGGATGGAGTTCGGAATCTAAAAATGTGCCAAAGCCACCTTCAAAGGTGGCAAATTAACGAAAAATACTTCGGAATTAATGAAGAAGACGGAATACATTTAAGTGTGAAGAAAAATATCAGAATTAATGACAGATGATAGAGCGAAAGGTTTAGTACGTTGCAATTTCCTGGGGATTTCCATTTTGGGGATTTTGTTAGAGATTATCTAAGATTATTCTTGATTATATTTTTCCATTCTTGCACAGGTTTATCCTTCATTCATTCTTTTTCTCATTTGATCCACTCTGCATTGGGATTATATTCTTTTGGGTTCCTTGAAATATTCTTCCAAAATGTTTCTACTTCTTCAGTAGATAATGATTTTTTGACTTCTAGAAATACTTTTCCAATTTCCCTGTAAAAATTCTTGAGGTCCGTTTGGAATATCTTATTTTGGCGACAGAACCTAAAACGCTTTTCATATCGTCTTCTTCTCTGTGCCTTTAATTGTAGTTTCTGTTGAAGTATTTCCTTGATTGGTGAAATTTCATTTAGCAATTTAATTTTATATCTCCGCTTTATGTTCTTGCTCATTATTATTATTATCATTATTATTATTATTATTATTATTATTTCGGATAGTTGACGAAATACTTATTGAAAAATTTTCAGAATAAATCACGCGATATTAGTTGTATGTAGTCAAATGACTATCTTAGTGTATAGCTACGTACATGCCTGGTTAGGCTAGCTTGCGAGCGGTAGGTACGGCTACAAATATCAAACGCCAAATGAGTAGTGTCATCATCTATGAACAAAAAGATGCTTGAAGCCCTTTCTGCTTTTTCGTGACGGTCCTTGTTTTCTTAAAAGAGCTTTCCACCATCGTAAATATCTTTCCTCTACTTTAATAATAATGGCATTCATATCTCAACTGACTGATTTTAAAAAACTGCATGTATCTTGCCTACTGAATTCTCAAAACATGTTTTTGTTTTATATCGTGGCCTTTTAACTTCTTTTATCTGTCCATACAGTAGTTTTTGGCATGCACTTATCATCCTCTTTGATCAAATCATCCGTCCAATGTAGCCATAGAGAGAGAAAGAGAGAGACAGAGAGACAGAGAGAAAGAGACAAAGAGACAGAGAGAAAGAGACAAAGAGACAGACTGACAGAGAGATTGAGAGATAAACTGAAAGACAGACTGAAAGAGATCGAAAAGCAGAAAGAGATTGAGGGAGAGATACAAACTGAGAGAGAGAGAGAGAGACAAAGAGACAAAGAGACAGACTAACAGAGAGAGTAAAACAGACAGAGACAGACTGAGAAAGAGAGAAAAAAAGAAAGGGACAGACTGAAAGAGACAAACTGAAAGAGAAGGGAGAGATACAAACTGAGAGAGAGACAAAGAGACAAAGAGACAGACTGACAGAGAGAGTAAAACAGACAGAGACAGACTGAGAAAGAGAAAAAAAAAGAAAGGGACAGATTGAAAGAGAGAGAAAAACAGACAGAAATACAGACTGAACGAGAGAGAGAGCGAGAGAGAGAGAGAGAGAGAGAGAGAGAGATGAGGAATTATGTCTATTAAAACAAGTTTTTCTTTCGCCGTCGATAAAGAAAATCTTACTAGAAAATAAATATCCCGCTTCTGTGAGGCAACATCAGCCAACAATTTACCAGCAAGCAATATTTTCACTTTGCAAATCATCGAGTTCACTAGCAGTTACTTTAAACAGTATACTCAATTTCAATCGAAAGTCTTTCTAACAAAACGGTAAAAAAAATCACTCCATTTTAGTGCAAAACGCATAGCGAAAACATGTTTACCCTAGCGCATAATGTCGATTATAGATCCGATATTTCCTTGATGACGTTCTTGCAAACAGGAACGTTTACAACACAGATAAAACTTCAGACGTTTGCAGATCCGAATTATTTTTCAATCAGGAAGCTGGAGAAAATATCAAAATGAAGGCTAAAAGGATAAGGGTGGTACATTTACTTGAATTATTTTTGAGTTTATCTCATGATAGTAACGCATGTAATTCATTTAAAGATAATCATTGATATTGCATCATTGATTCTTGAAATCTCAGCAGTTACTTTAAGAAAAACAGGCGTTTAATATGATAAACCTCTTTCATCGTTTCAACATTTCAATGGTATTAAGAAATACTTACGTTGAATTTTCCTTTCAGTTACTCTATAATAGTGCATAATATAAATTTTCTTTTATTGGGTAAATCTTTTATCTGCCGTGTCCTTTCATGATGAGGGTCTCCACAACGTCCTTTGTTGCTCTTAGTAACTTTACACCTTTTACCACCTTTCTTTGTCCCTGGTTCTCATACAGTCACCAAAGGTAAGCAACGTCGAGCCTGGTCAGTACCAAGATCGATGACTGCTTGGGAATACCAGGCGTTGTAAGCTTAAATGTGTCGGTGGTGTAATGGATAACGACGCGGAATTAGACATCGGAGACCCGTATTCGAATTTCAGTCGGTTCCGTTATATTTATTTACGCGCAACTACCCTCGAAAAAGTAAGAATCCAATTCTTCTCCCCAAGCTATGGGTTAATTAGTTATCCTTCTATAATTAAAACCATTATTATCTAAAAATACATTCTGACTTTAAATTATCTGCAAAAGGTTGATAAGACGTAAAAATCAAATCAATAAATCAATCTTTCTGTCATCAGTTCACACATTAAGTCAGTCAGGCTTTATTTTTATCTCTTCTCTTGTTTTCGGTAATTCCTGTGCGTTTTAAATACCGTAGCCCCCCCCCTTTCCCGTCATTTCTCAAGAAATTTCAGTTGTCTCTTCTTGATTGTAACTACCAGCTCTTTGTTGTTCTCGTATACCAATGTGACACACAAAAAATATATTAAATTTAATCAATATTATATTAAGAAATAATATTAAAGATATCTTTAATATTTCGATATTAATTCCTATCACCATCAGAAAAATGGTGCGCAAATTGTTTTTATAGCTTTGATGTTACCTTTTTAGGATGTGTAGTTAGCGTAACAGTTATCGGCGCGGAAAGTTGAATCGGTGGATCGAATTCAAATTTCCACCTAGTCTGTTGCGTTCACTTTCACACTAATACCTTTAAGCAAGGTATGTATCTATTTGTTCTCCTCCTAACTAGGGATTTAATAGAAAGATGGATCATGAGTAGCAACCAGTCTAGGAGAAGAACAACTGTGAATGCAAAAAGCGAAACAGGAAATCTACTATCTAGCCTAAAAGGTCATTACAATTCATAGTTAATAAAATAAAGGACGATGTGGGAGTCATGACATGGCGTTTAAAAAATAAGTCCCTTTTTCTGTTAAGAATACTATTGATAAAACATTTGTGTAATAAGGAAGAGGGGAGTTTTAAAAAAATGTTACGTCCGTTAATTCGACGAGGAACAACTAGACATCGATCTGCGTACAGAAGTATCTTTGACAGTGTAGATAGGGAATGCAAGTGGCTGTGGAAGATCTGACACCTGCTTGCGCTGCACATCAAAAAGCAGGTAATGAAAAGCGAGTAACCTACTTGCTAAATGAATTACAGAACTGTTGTGGAGTTATTTCACAGTGGAGGCTTGTATTTGCACTAAATCGGTTCGACGTACAAATCGTTAGGAACTCGATATAATAGGTATTACGCAAAGTAATCTTATTGTGGTCGCTGACTACTTTCGTATTCGACTAACTGTCTACTACTGTCGTCCGACATCGACGCTATTTAGTAACTACCCCACGCTGCCACAAGGCCAAATTTAATGTAAGGTTCCCGAGCCCGTAGGCTCGGCCAAAAAATCCCTGTAGACCCCGCATAAACGGGATCGGGTCTGTCTACTTCCCCGGACGAAACTCTGTCCTTCGGCATAGCCTCGTCCGGGTTCCTCTCTGCTCGAAAGGCAGAGAGTTCGACTGTCGTCCGACATTATCTAACCCTCGTTTCTCTTACAACTCCTACTTATATTAGGTGGGTGAGTCTTTAACTATAGAATAGGCGTGGTTCACCATAACAAGAACAAATGCACGGAGGGGTCTGAAAGCAGCAAAAATTTGTTTAGAGCAACCAAAGACAAGAAGATGTGGATAGCCATGATCGCCCATATCCTGAAAGGACATTGCATTTAAAATAAGATCTATCAAATTCTCCGAAATTCTAACTTGTTGTCTTATTTTGATGATATAAGCAATAAAATACAGTGGCCATTATCAGTCAGTTATGTGCCACGCACGATACATGTGTAGGCGATCATGTATCTTTCGATACATGACTGACGAGGCTGATTTTTCTCGCAGTAGGTTGCCATTTCTTTCTGTGGTAGACCAGTTGCCATTCAAGTCTATAGAACCTGGTCTGTCCTGCTATTTACCCATAGTTAGGGGGAGAAGAAAGGGTATTAACACGTAAGTGAATGTAATAGATTCGACTAGAATTCGAACTCAGCTCTCCAATTCCTCAATCCGAGCTGCTATCCATTACTCCATTACTTGTTTAATAATAAATTGAAAGTTTTTTTTTTACGGGTAGTGTAGTAGTTAACAGCACAGATAGTTCGATCGGAGGAACGAGTTCAAATTTCGTTCTATTCCGTTGCGTTTACTTCCACACAAAACCATTGTGAGAGGCATGAATTTTTCTCATCTCCACCTAGTTATGGGTTAAACAGCAGTGTAGACTGGGCTCTCTAACCTTGTGTGACAACTAGTCTAATAGTAGGAAAATTCTGAATTCTAAAACCCTAGAGAAAGCAATAGGAAAATACTTCACTATTTTAACCAATAATTCATGGCAGTTTACAGATATCAAAGGAATCTGCGAAGAGCCATAATCATCTATGAAGGAACATGAGAACAATAAAAGAAAAAGTAGGTTGATATATTTATAATTTTAGTAAATTTTATGACAGCAACGCGGTCAATGCGAGGAAGTTGAGTTTTAAATCAATCAACACACCCAATCGTTCCAGCGAGGAAAGTCGTTGATTTAAAATGTGCAAAACATTAAATGCTCTATACACAATAAAAGCACCTTTCGCGCGCAGCTTAACATTGGGTGCATAAAAATACTTTCTCTTTACATTAAAGTAATTCTGGTGCGCAATGTACAGACAAAGTAAATATTTCCCTGCTGGATCTGAAGTAGTTAACTAATAGTGAATTATTGCTTCTACCTGCTTTAAATGACATTGAATACAGTAGCAACGATCAGCTTCTAGGTACACAGGGGATGGCATGAGCAAGTACTGTGTATACTTCATTCAACGCGGAAACAAAGAAATCAGGTTTGGCTGATCATGTATGGGGGGAAAAGGGTCGTCATCAGGTTCGATGGGCTGAAGTGGAAATACTGTTCAAGGAAGAATACTGGGAGTTAAACGTCTGAAAGAATCAGTGCATATGCTAGGCTATAAGAACCTCCTTAGTAGGCCAAGCATAGAAGTAAATAAGTCAAAATCAGCAAGGCCTCAACAGCAGCAGCAGCTGTAATAAAAGCGAAAAGCTCGTGAGTGCAATCAAGTGTGACAAGCAACAGCAGCAGCACTCATCAGTAGTCAGGTTAAGTTTAAAGCTCCAATAGCCTAGTGGATTAAGGTGTTGTTTCGTGAATTTGGCGATATAGAAATTGCAGGTTCAATCCCTGAACCGACCAGTGTGTAATTGGACAGTGGAAATAGGGTGAACAATAACTGAGAAGTGCTAAGAATAAGATATAGACAAGATATCCCTAGACATGGGCAGTGAAAAGAGAACAGTCTACCCCTTATATTAAATAAAGGGCTTAGTTCAGAATAACCTGTAGATTATCGTGATTGACATGCACCTGATGAAGTCGGCGTGGCGGGGGACACAACGGCCGAAACGTTGTGATAATAACAAAAAAGATAAGAATAATAGTCCGTAATGTAAAAAGTGTTCATTTCTTTCTGTTACTTCCAGAGTAGCTGAAACAGTTTTGAGAGTATGGATGAATGATTACCAAATCCAACATTCACTTTCCTTAAGATATTACTGATCCATTTTTATGACGTCATTGACGTGACGTATTTTGCTAAGGTATCTCGGGATTGGCAAAAGTACAAAGAGAAAGTGGATTCTTATCAAAACAATTCTAACAATCAAATATATTTTCTGGCTTTAAATAACCTGCAAAAGATTAATAAGCTGTAAAAAAACAAATCAGTCAAACAATTACGTTCAAATACCATCCGATTTCAGGATGAATTGGGGAAAAAAACAGCTTATGAGAGTTGAATTACCATTATATATCCCTAGAGCTTGTCTTAAACGGACAACTGATCAGACTACTTTTTTAATCCGATTCTCACATTTTACTTAAACAATCGAATGATATTCAACTGAGAACATTGTGATTAAAAGCAAAAATATGGAAAAAAATTAACCTGATATTCATTAGAGTTACTCTATAATAGTGCATAATATAAATTTTTCTTTTATTGGGTAAATCTTTTATCTGCTGTGTCCTTTCATGATAAAGCTTTCCACAACGTCCTTCGTTGCTCTTAGTAACTTCATCTTTTACCATCTTTCTTTGTCCCTGGTTCTCATACAGTCACCATGTTTGTTTTATTTGTATTTCTAGTTTTCGAGATTCGTTGTTTTGTACTATAATTTACCAAGGCCTTTACCTGAGAACAGAAGTAAAGGAAGGTTTTTTTCATGGAAAGT